GGGGCTCGTATATGCTTTTCATTTGGGAGTGGTGAGAGAGTCAAACGTTTTTATTAAATTTAAAGCTACTTTTCTGTATCAATCAATCAAATCACTGGGCCAGTATTTTGAGCAGTCCTAGATTGTTTGCTGGTCCATCTTCCAGTAAGTGTAATTTGTTGTTTTTCCCCTATTTTGTATTCTATGTAATTTTTTAACTGTACATAAACGCTATTATTATTATTATTATTATTAATTAACAATTTGAGGGTCGATGTAAAATGTGCTTTCTGAGGACGTAACAACAACAAGATTTCGTGGCAAAAAAGGATAGAATGATGGAATGACAGGTATTAATGCTCAAGTACAAGATACAGGGTGGCCAATATATAACTGACTGATTTAAATTGCGGGAGAGGAGGGAGGAGCAGATTGCTCTTCCCCCCACTCCTCAAGGGTCTGAGGTTGCCTGGAACAGGGGTGGTGGAGGGACCGCACAGGGTAGGAGGGTGTGCGTGTGTGTGACTTATGCTAGTAGCAATATTTCTGCATAGGCCCTCCTGGGATAACGGTGATGGTCAATTCAGTGGACTCAACAGGAAATCTGCTGAAGTGACTCTATACTTGCATTGGACGTCATCTTGTTCTTGTACTAGGCAGGGGTCGGATGAATTTTTGGAGATGAAGTCTTCACAGGTTCTCCCAGCCTTGTATTTTCGAGCTGTTTTGTGGCTTGGCACTTCAAAACTCGAGAGGTTCTTCTTCCTCGTTGAAATGGCAGAACTTCTCAAATGGATGAGCCTTGGGTCACACAAATAGCTGAAACGACACTTGCCTCGGGTTACAGCATCTGGATCTTCAGATAGTCGATTGAGTAGTACTTGGTACCAAACCGACTAGATTACTCTCAAAACTTGAGAAAACAGCAAACCGATTTTCAACGGGAAATCTATACTGTTCGCAGTGCCAATTAAATAAAATAGGCGATGAATCACTTAAAAAATTATTTATTATGATGTTGAAGGTTGTACAGCAAAGTATAACGTAATCTTATCTCTAAAACTATGCGTACTCATAATAAATCGGTATCCTGAAGGAATTTGTTATGATGGGAAAGTGCCCAAGAACATTTACTTATCAATATAAGGAAGTGTACATAGATATCGTTGACATCATAATTAACAAGAACTCATAAGGAAAGTAAATACCCAGAATATACATGAATGATAGGATGTTTAGTAAATATACGAGGGTGATACAATAATTTATATCTCACGGAAAAGTTGTTAAAAGCACATGTGTCCAATTTATCATAGAGCGCTATACGATCCCACAGCGCGTCCGTTTTGTTAAAACGTTTTACTTAAATACTGAGCCGGTTGTTGCAACGATTCGGAAGCTATGACAAGATTTCGGTCGAATTAATGTGACCAGTGTCAGCACCATTCGTCAGTTTGGTGTGGAAATTTGAACAAACACGTGAAGTTAAAGACTTGCTAAGGTCGGGCCGTGTTCGAACCGCTCGTACTCTATAAAATATCGAAAGAGTTCGTGAAAGTGTAGTGGAGCTCCCTGAGACGTCGTCTTCAAGAACTGGGTATTCTTCGCACGTCATTATGCACCATTTTGAAAAAAATACTTGCATTTATGGCCATACAAAATTCAGTCAACTCAAGAACTACAGCCTAGTGATCATGAAAGTAGCCGACAATACAGTCATGCAATATTGCAGGTTAGTACCCAAAATAACGATTTATACCGACAACTGGCGTATCTGGACAATAGAGAATCCTCGTGTCATCCACCAACAACCACTACATCCCCGTCGAGTCACAGTTTTGGTCAGAGTTTGGTATGGAGGTGTCTTTGAAGGGTAATTATCTTACTATCACTGGCGAGCGCTACCGTGATGTGGTACAAAACTTTCTGGCTCCTCAAATCAAAAAGTTTAGCCTATAAAATATACTAAGTGACATATAAATCCGAACACCCAGTTTAAATGGTTTTATTTTAATAAATGTTGGTGAATGTATTTATCTTAATGTAAATAACAAGTGAAAAAATTTTCAGCCTTATCAGTTGGACATTCCGGTTTTTATACTGCTTTTTTAATTCACTAACGCTCTAAAAATGAATATTTCAGCCGCAGTAAAGAATCAACGTTGGCGGATTTTGGTTCTTGACATCCTTTACGATCGGTTACGATGCCTAGAGTACGGAGACCTGTACGATTTCGTCAACTTAGTGAGTTTGATAGGGGCCGTATAGTGGGACTTCGGGAAGCTGGACTTTCTTTTCGGGCAATTGCAGTTAGAGTGCAAAGAAGTGCAGACACTGTGGTTAGGTGTTGTCAGGCATGGCTTCGAGAAGGCCGTATGCAAAGAGCAAGGGGCACTGGACGCCGCCGTAGAACAACAGACCGTGAAGATCGCCGCCTAAGATTATTGGCCTTAAGGGACCGTTTCTCCACTACCAGGTCCATTGCAAATGAATGGTTTGCAGAACACGGAAGACCTATTGGCATGCGCAGTGTTTACCGACGAATGAAAAGTTTTGGCTTGTTTTCATACCGGCCACACTGGGTCCTCTCTTTAACTCGAGAACACCGACGTAATCGCCTTGAGTGGTGCAGACAACGGTCACTCTGGGATCAGGAATGGAACAGTATTGCCTTTAGTGACGAGTCTCGATTTTGTTTAGGCATGCACGATGGTCGTGCCAGGGTTAGAAGGCGACGTGGTGAAAGGAGGAATCCACAGTTTTTTGTTGAAAGACATGTTCATCACACTGTTGGAGTTATGGTTTGGGGTGCTATAGCTTATGGTTCCAGGTCACCTTTAATCTTCATCAGAGGTAACATGAACGCGCAGCTTTATATCCACGAAGTTCTAGAACCCCATCTTTTACCCTATCTTGACACCCTGGCAGATCCAACTTTCCAACAAGATAATGCCCGACCACATGTTGCAAGAGTCACAATAGACTTCTTTCAACATAATGATGTCACATTGTTACCATGGCCACCAAGATCTCCCGACTTATCCCCAATTGAGCACGTGTGGGATATGATGGGTAGGAGATGGCTCAATTTGCAACGTCCTCCTCGGACTCTAGAAGTACTTCGAGAGGAGTTGGTGGTTGCCTGGAATGAGATACCACAGGAGGACATTGACCACCTGATCAGAAGCATGCCTAGGCGCGTTGGAGAATGCGTAGCACATCAGGGTGCATCCACACATTATTAAAGGTCAAAGGGCTTTAAAGCAGTGCAATCATTTTGAAATTTTTATCATTTACTTATTATGCTTCATTAAGTACTTATACAAAATTTTATTAAAATAAAACCATTCAAACTGGGTGTTCGGATTTATATGTCACTTAGTATATGTGGTTCCAGCAGCATGGAGCAAATTGTCACACAGCTAGGGAAACAAAGTGTCTTTTGCGAACAATATTTCCGGGACGTTTAGATAGATAGATAGATAGATAGATAGTTTATTGTCCTATTAGATCATGTTACATGATATAAGACTTGTCAATATCAATTTGAGGGTCATATATGCGTTTGAGCAAATATGCCAGAAAAATACTTATAATTATAAAATAAATAAGGACATTACAATTATAAAACATTTTAAAAGGTTAAACCACATTATAGGTACAGGTACAGTGCAAGAATCGTAATGTGTTCAATCTGTAACGGTAAAAATATATACATATACAGCGACTTTTTTTATCACAAAAAATGTTCGTCTAGTCGGTTGAAATCATTGAAGCTGATACAAAGAAAAGAAAAGCGGTAGGAGAATCTGTTAGAAATACATAATATATAAACACAATAAACATCGAGCAATGAGGACAAATGGTTAAAAGCTTAAAAAGAAAACATACATACTTTCGTTAAAACTCGAATAAAAAGTGAAATTAAAATACATTTACTCCACGATAATAGACAATTCACTGATAACGAAATGATTAACAGCTTAAAAGAATTTAAAAAACAGATACTTTCATGTGTTAGTAAAACTCATGTAGAGAGTAATAGCATTTTTCAACCAGACATTTCCTGAGATGTTTTTTCAGCGCAAGGATATTAGTGCTTCCCCGCAACTCACTCGGCAGATTATTGTATACCTTAGTGCACGCTAGAGTGGGAGATTTTTGGAATAGGACAGAGTTATGTGTCGGACTATTAATGGCGTTGTTACGAACAAATCTATTGCTATGTTCAAATGCGAAGATGGCACATTTGTAGATATAGATGGAAGATAATGTAAGCAGATTATAGCGTCTAAATATTTCTTTACAAGAGTCCCTCTTATTAATATTAAAAATTAATCCAAGTACTCTTTTCTGCAGGATGAATAATCTGTTAATCATTGTTGCCTGTCCCCATATGATTATATTGTTAGTGAGGTGAGAATAAACTAGCGCGTAGTACATATCTTTAGTTTCTCGATTTGGTGAGGTCAACTGGCCACCAAGGTCACCGGATTTTTTTATGGGGATTTTTGAAAAATATAGTTTATGCCAACAAATCAAATACTGTCGAGCAGCTTAAGCACAATATTACGGAAGCGATGGAAAATATTCCTACCGAAGCCTACCAAAAAGTGACGGAGAATGTAATCAAGAGGGCTTAGGTTTGCGCAGTTTCTAGAGGCGAACATTTGTCTGATATTATTTTTCATACATAATTTCTAAGTTTCCATAAAAGATTAAGATGAAAAAAATGGAAGTATCTTATTTCATTTCACAAATATTCAAGACACAAACCAGTCAATTACATATCGGCCACCCTGTATAAATAAGAAGGCCTTAGATCAAACTGAGTTGCTTTTTACTTGAGGAGGATATTTGACAATTCTCTTGTCTCTCGCATGTGCTAAGACTGTGAAATCGCTGTTTTGTAAAGAATCCTCCCATTGATTGGATGTAAGCTTATCTAATGCACAACCCTTTTTGATCAAGCGGCGAGGCGCCCATGGCAATAAAACATGCAAACCTTCAAGTGAACATACCTTAAACTGGCTGGGATACTCGAATTTATGGAAATCCGGCTCTAATTCCAAAGCTTCCTCGAGATTCTGCAGGAATTGTCTCTGGAACGTAACGATTTCCTGGATGTTGCCGAAGAGAGCGTTGATTTCGGCATTCGACAGGAACGTTTCCCTTTTCAGGGGCTCTAGGTAGTTTTCCAGCAGGTTGTTTAGGTGCTGGAAGAATTGCTCGTGAGAGTGGAAGAATTTATACTGAGCGACAATAAAAGGCAAACACCTACGTAAATCGGCTGAAAAGTTCATAGGATGACTCACAGATGGCGCCACGAACGAAAAGTCATTATTATTACTAATGCCGGAACCGCACGCTTGCCAAATCGCCGCAAATAGTCACAAACTTTTTGGTTTGGCTTGGTTTGCGTGAGTTTGCAAGCGCTTGTAGCCGATCCGATCGGGTGTCGGTTTTTTGGTCGCAAATCAAAAGGAGTTTGCCACAAGCGTTTGTGACACATCCATACGTTTGTGATAGGTACTATTTTTGAAACTAAATATCAATTTCATTAAAACAAATACCATTTACCTGGTACGATTCATATGAATATTTAACATCCACCATCTTCTTGGTCGTACTTTTCGTTTTATCTGGCTTTTTTTTTTGGTTTTATAATAAAAATAGCTTAAGCCAAATGCTACGGCAGACACAAGTTCGACGTCCGTCATGTTTGCCTGTTGCCTTTTCAGTGACGCGCCCGCAAACGTGTGGACGGCGACGTTTGCTTCTTAAAAAAAAGGCAAGCGTTTGTTGGGGGGTTGGAGTTTGCGGCAAATGGCAAGCGTGCGGTTCCAGCAAAAGAAGTGTCATCCGTCAAACGTTCACTGTCAAAATTTCACGTCATTCCGACCACTTATTCACTAGTGACAGTGGATTTAGTGACGCTTCTTCGGTAAATTTAAGAAAAATGGAAAATTCCGAATTTCGTGTGCTCATAAAACATTGCTTTTTGATGGGGAAAAATACTGTGCAAACTAAGCAATGGCTTGATGAGTGTTATCCGGACTCCGCTCCATCGAGACAAACAGTCAAACAGTAAATTTGCTAGATTTAATTTGGAGCAATGCCATTTGCTGTGTTGAACATGCTGATGATGCGTTAGTGTGTGAGGATCCCCATCATCCTGCGTTGATTGTCACTGCGAGTCATTTTTCTTTCACCAAACATAACGTGTTGCATAGCAACTTTAAAGGTTCATATAATTTTAGGAAAGCTGACTTTCAGCTGCTCTATGAAATGATTGTGAATATTAGCTGGGGCGATTTGAAAAATTTTAGTGACGTTGATTTAGCTTGTGAATATTTCTATTTTGAGATCTATAGAATTCTTGATTGTTGTGTTCCTAAAGTTAGAATATCTTATAATAATAGGAATCCTCCTTGGTACAACAGCCATATCATTAGAACCCTCAAACAAAAAATGGTGGCATTCAAGACTTTCAGACGCACTGGTGATACTTATTATATAGAAAAATTTATAAGACTTCGCTCAGAGATAAAGCAACATGTAGCTGTTTCATATCGTCGCTACATTCACTCTTCAGACTGTGAAATATCCAACAGCTCCGGCAAATTCTGGTCTTTTGTTAATAGGAAAAGAACCTGCACTGGTATTCCGAAGGATATGCTGTACAATGGGCTGGGATTGAATACACCTAATGATGTTGTTGGCGCATTTGCGGAACACTTTAGTGGGAGCTATAATACTCCAACAGCTCAATCTAATTTTTCTACTGACTACCATTTCACTACTACACTAGCTATGCCTAGTGTACTGGAAATCGATGTGTTACAGGCGCTCAAGAAAATTAAGCCAAAAATGACTGCAGGGCCTGATCAAATACCTGCATTTTTTGTGAGAGATTGTGCGTCCATTTTAGCATATCCACTCATGATCATTTTCAATATCTCTCTGAAAAATAATCACTTTCCATCTATTTGGAAGTTGTCTAGGATAACTCCTGTTTTTAAAAAAGGTGAGAGGAATTGTGTAGAAAACTATCGGGCTATCACAATTATCAGTAATTTCGCTAAAACATTCGAAATAGTGATACAAACTGTGCTATATTTTCATGTAAGCAGGTCTATCTTGGTCAGTCAACACGGTTTCATGAAGGGCACGTCCACAGTTACTAACTTGCTACATCTTACTCAATATGTTTGTGAATCAATCGATAGACAACTTCAAACGGATGTAATATATACTGATTTCTCTAAAGCGTTTGATAGTTTAGACCATAACATTCTACTCAATGAGTTATCTAGATTTGGTCTTTCAGATGCATTGTTGCTATTTTTCAGATCTTATTTATGTCATAGGAAACAATATGTTATGTGCAATGGACATAAGTCAAGCGAATACTCTGTAATGTTCGGTATTCCTCAAGGATCTAATTTAGGACCTCTGTTATTTATTATGTTCATAAATGATATTTCTGAAGTTATCGATGTCGATTTTCTTATATATGCTGACGATATGAAACTTTTCTGTAGAGTTTCCAACATTGACGATTGTCATCGCTTGCAGCGCAACATTGTAAGGGTTGACAACAAACTGGTGACCTGAAAACAGACTTGTTTTGAATGCTGCTAAGTGTCACGTTTTGTCGTTTACTTTAAAAACAGGGGTAATGATGTATGAATATAGTATTGGTGACAGGAAACTTGACAGACCTATTACAATTAATGACTTGGGAGTCACATTTGAAAGAAAACTTTCCTTCTCCTATCACATTCAAAATGCTGTTGTGGCTGCATCAAACGGGTTTTATTGTAAGAAATACCGGTGATTTCCACAACTCCTTTACACTGAAAATACTGTACTATGCTCATGTAAGATCTAAGCTTGAGTATGCGTCCCTGGTATGGTATCCTCATCATCAAATATATATTGACCGCTTAGAGTCCGTTCAAAGAAAGTTTTTGAAATACCTCTCATACAAAGCTGACGTGATATATCCCTCTATTGGCTTTCCTCATAGTGAGTTGATGGCGAGACACAAAATCTATAATTTAGAGAGCAGACGCAAAATGAATTCACTTAAGTTAATTCACAAGCTCATCCACGGCATTATTGACTCCAGCGTCATCTTAGAACAACTTAACTTCTTAATTCCTAGATTAGCGTCACGAACTAGTTTAACTTTTTACTTAGCCAGGCCTAGGACTGACATACTTAAGTTTTCCCCTATATATATAATATGCCGTAATTATAATTCAGTTAATAGCGTTTTAGATATATTTTCGTTTTGTGCGACTTTGGGAGACAGTAATCCTTATTTTCGTTAATGCTTGCCGGTGTGATTGTTGAGTGCTGGGTAGGTAAAGCTAGAACGCTTTTTTTTTCTTCCCAGTTCTGTTTTGAGGTTTTTTTATGCAGCGTTTTAGCTTTCTCTACATACGTCCACAACATGCATTTGTTTATATTTTCATGTTTATCCATCCTGTAATTGGCTATGGCTGTTGGATGTTGTGAAATAAATAAATAAATAAATAAATAAAAACAGTTGAGAAGTGGTTTGCTGATTTTAAATGTGGTCGGACAGACACACGTGATGCTGAACGCTCTGGTCGTCCAAATTCGGCCGTTACTCCGGAAAACATAAAAAAAGTTCACCACAAGGTACTGACTAAACGCAAAGTGAAATTGGAGGAGATAGCTAATACCCTGAAGATACACTGATCAACAACCAAAAAATATCCTAAATAAAATCAACAAAATATTACTATTTCTAATGAGCTAAAACCGGAATGAAACTTATTTTATCAATATTAGTTCAAGTTTTAGAGATACGGTAATTATATGTGTTCCTGCGGTGACAGTGTTAATATACTGTAATTCACAAGAATGCACGTGCTACATTTTTATATTCGGCAAGGAAAGATGATGCAATCGGCATGATTGTGTTACGTTATACATACGTGTACATTATATTGTTTTATATTAGCCATTTTTTCCTCAGTTGGCTGACAGCGTTCATGCAAGATGTCTCGAAAGTGTGTAAACAATCCAGATCAGTTTTGTTACGTGTGTGGTGATGTGACTTTTGCGTCTCAGAGACGGTCTATTACTCCACTAATAACAAAGGCATATCAGCTTTATTTCGGTTGTAAACTAGGTGATCAAGACAAACAGTGGGCACCCCACATCTGCTGTAATACATGTGCTTCAAGTCTGAGGAGCTGGTTAAATGGCAAAAAACGGTCTATGCGCTTTGCTGTCCCAATGGTTTGGAGAGAGCCTACAAATCATATTAATGATTGTTACTTTTGCATGGTACCTTGTGTTGGACAAGCCACAGGTATGTCCAAGAAAAAAAAATCGGTTATTAACTACCCAAACATACCATCTGCGATGAGACCTGTGCCTCACAGTGACGAAAATCTTTTCCAAAACTCCCAGAATCCTACACTTGCGAATCAGAAAACGAATCAGATCATGGCGATCGAGTGATTCGTCAGGAAGAAGATATGCCATCAACGTCAAGAGATCCTGATTTTATACCGAGCACGTCATGCCACCAACCGCACAAAATAACATAGTCAGAATTAAATGATCTTGTAAGAGATTTAGAACTTCCAAAATGTAAGGCAGAGTTACTTGGATCAAGACTGCAGCAGTGGAACTTGTTAGAAGACGATGTTTCGGTATGTGTTTTTCGTAAACGCCACAAAGACTTAGAACCATTTTTCAATATGGAGAATAACTTGGTTTTCTGCAGTAACATTAACGGCTTACTGGCGGCTTTAAATATAAACTATAACCCAGAACAATGGAGATTGTTTACAGACAGTTCAACATTGAGTTTAAAGGCAGTGTTATTGCATATTGGAAATATTTTACCACCTCTTCCTGTGGGGTATGCAGTTCACATGAAAGAATCATATGACAATATGAAGTACCTATTGACATGCATAAAATACGATGAGCACCAATGGCATATTTGTGGCGATTTGAAAGTTGTTGCACTTTTACTTGGGCTGCAGCTAGGCTGCACAAAGTTTTGCTGTTTTTTGTGTGAATGGGACAGTCGGGCAAAGGCACTTCATTACACCAGACAAAACTGGCCTGTTCGTCAATTCCTAGAGCCAGGTCAAAAAAATGTACAGCATATGCCATTAGTAGATTCGAAAAAAAATTTATTACCACCACTGCATATCAAGTTGGGCCTAATGAAAAACTTTGTCAAGGCATTAGATAGAGATGGGTCAGCTTTTCAATACCTGCGTCAGAAATTTCCAAGACTAAGTGAGGCAAAGGTTAAAGAAGGTATTTTTGTCGATGAGACGTAGATTCACCACTACATACCTGCATCGAAACAACAGTCATCTGAGTGGAGACAACGCGGCGAACCTCGTCCAAGACGACCAAAGGCGCAAATGTCAGTCGGGAAGGTTATGGCTTCCGAATTTTGGGACACACACGGTATATTGTTCATGGACTATTTAGAAAAGGGGAAAACTATCAATAGCGATTATTACTGCGCGTTATTGTAGCGATTGAACGATGAAATTGCCACTAAACGGCCGCATATTAAGAAGAAAAGGATCATTTTTCACCAAGACAATGCACCGTGTCACAAATCGATGCAAACAATGGTCAAATTTCAATTCATTTAAATTCAAAGTGTATTCAAATTCAAAATTCAAAAACCAATATAACTTACAAATTAAAAACAACCTTCAGTACAATTTAAATAAAAAAAGCTTCAAAAATACATGAGCTTGTATACTCTTGCTACCCTGAATAACTAAGATTGCAACAGAAATCTGAGCAAAGATAATAGCATCAGATCTAGAACCAGCAAATAACGGTATATGAATTGTGAAAATTCTGTATACTTTCGTAAAGGGTAAATTTCTGAATCTTGTCGTCACAAATCCTAAATTACGTGTCTGCATAAACAAATCTAAAATTCATAACAATAGTACAGAAGCATACTAAAAACACTCAGAAGTATAAATATAGAGTATATAAAATATGAATATCTGAAATATGATAATATAGGGATATTTCGAGTAAGGTCAAATTATGTTGTTTAAACAATAAAAATTTTGCGTAAAGGTTAAGCAGAGAAACAAGAGTACTACAATTTACTACAAAAGAATAGACACCTAAGCTATAAGCTTGTGTGTGTCATACAATATACAAATTCAATGCATGGCTAATGGCCATAAGATATATTATGAGCAAATGTGTATAAAAAAAAAGAAATAAA